CCCTCTCCCCGCCCCGCGCCGCCCCGCCCGGCCGCCCGCCCACATCCGCCTCCGCCGCCCGGGGCGCCCCCGGCGCGGCCGGGGCGAGGGCGCGGCGCCGGGAGCGCGCGGCAGGCGGCGGCCCAGGCTCCCCGCGGCCGCGTGCTGCCCGGCCTCAGTTTCCCGGCGCGGCCCGGTTCCGCCGCGGCCGGTGGGGCCATCCCGGGGCTCCTGCCCCCGAGCGCGGGGGGAGGGTGCCCCGGGGGGGGGGGCGCAGCCGAGGCGACCCTCAAAGGCCGGAGGCCCGACCCTGCCCCCCCATGGGGCCTGGGACCCTGGCTGCAATGCGCCCACGGGACAGGGGGGCTGCGGAGGGAGGGGCCCCAGGCCCAGGCCCAGGCCCGCGGGCTGCAGAGCCACCTTGCCCTGGCCACGACCCTCCATCCCTGGCCGCGCCTTCCCGGAGCTGCCCGTGGCCCCAAATCAAGACACCGACAGCTCTACAGGAGCAGATGGGGGGCTTCCCACGATGACAGCGGGACAAGCGGGCCACAGGGACTGTGGGGCGGTGGGGGGCATCCACCAGGTAGGCGGCTTCCACCGCACACCTGGCGGGGGGGGAGGGGGGTGCCTGTCCTGGGCTGGGACAGGCACCCAGAGAAGGGCTGTCAGAGGGCAGCCCAGGCCCCTGCCTGCCGCCCCGGTGGGGCCCCGGCCTCCCACAGTCCACTGGGCAGGGGTGGGCAGCGGAGGCGCGGGCGAGGCGGGAGGACACTGCAGATGACCCCTCCCCGGGCCCTGCACTGGGCTAGAGCCAGAGATTTCTCCAACAGCTGCCCCTCCCCCCATCCCTGAGGCCTCCCAGTCACAGCGATCCTTTTGTGGAAGGAAAACTCCTGAGTTACCCTCCTGGAGTCGGCATGCGTTCTGTGGGGGAGAGGCCCATTTCTGTTCCTTATCCAGGGTCAGAGTTCAGCCTGGGGGGTATAGATACTTCATCTGGGTCAGAGGCAGGTGCAGCCCAGCTGAGCGGCCAGCAAAGCACCTACACCCAAAACTGGGGCTCCTGCCAGACTCCTTGGGGCTGAGGGACAGTCATAGTCCTTAGAGGACTCTCCACTGCTCGGGGGGACGCTCACCCCTCATTCCTCCTCCTCGCTCTCCACCAGATGTCCCACATCTGTCCATCCCTTACCCTGCAAACCTTCCCCCTGACCCCCTGGGACTCCCACCTACCCACTGCTGCCCCAGGAAGGGTGTCCGTACCCGCCCCCCTGGCCACGCACGCTGTGGAGAAGGCGGAGGACAGGAAGAGAACGGGGTGGGGGTCGGTGGTGTCTGGCAGCCGCTGGGGAGGGGGGTCTGGGAGGGCGCCCTCTCATGGAAGATGTGGCGACTCCCCAGCCGCTCCAGGGCCTAGTGGCCACGAGAGGACAGGCGTCCTGGGCGGGAGGCCGCACCGCCATAGTCCTACCAAACTAAACCTCCGGCTCGTTGGCCGCCGGCCCGTCTCCAGGAGGCCCCACCGCACGGAGCTCCGGTGCCCACCAAGGGCCCAAGACATGCCGGGAGCCCCGCGCCCGTTTCTGCACCCCGTGTGAGCCTGTCCTCAGACCTCCCGGAGGGAGAGCAGAGCACTCCCCTCCAGGACACCCCCTCTGCACCTCAGGTGGAATGGCAAGACGAGGCCCCACTCCTGTCTGCCCGCCCCGGCCCACGCTGGGGCCCCTGGGGATCCCTCGGCCAGATGTTTCCAACAAGAAGTGCTGCAGCAGGGCCCCGAGGAGGGTGGCTGCCCGCCCCTCCGGAGCTCCGCGGCCTCGGGCCTGTCACCTTCTGCAGCTGCCAGCCGTCGGGCTGCCTGGTCTCAGCAGCAGCTGGAGGGCGGGGCCCGAGGGCAGCTCCCAGGCCAGATGGCCGCCCGGCCAGCTGCGTCCAGGGAGGCTGCGCCTGCGGTGGCCTCCTGTCGTCCTCACGCCCGGGGACCTCACGGGGCCAGAGAGGGGATCCAAGGGCTGCGGAGGGGGGCACCTCCCGGTGCCATCTCCCCGGGGCTGCCTGGGACGGCTCCTCCTGGGCAGTGGGGGGTGGGACAGGGGCACCTAACTCAGACCTATCCACCTAGAGGCACAGGGGCCCCCTCTCCCCGCGGGGATGCCCCTCCTCTAGCTCACGCCCAGCTGGGCTGGCCTCTCAGCTCCCACAAGCAGCGTCCGAACCTGCTGCGGCCCCTCTCCACGCCCCACAGCCTCCGTCAGGGCCCCAAGGAGCACTTTGTCCCACTAGCCAGGCAGGACAGGCCAGGACACCCTGCCCGCCCCGGGGCCTCCCTCTGGGCTGCCTGGGGAACTGTGCGCCCAGGAGGGCCGGCCTCCCTCCTCGCCTCCGCGGCCTCGGGGCCCCACTGGGGGAGCAACGCTGGACAGGTAGGGCCGAGGAGCAGCCAGGATTTGGTGGGCCGTCCCTCACGGAAGCCACCGCACTCACTCCAGAGACATGTTCTGAACCCCTGTTTGGTGCCGAGCCGCCTCGTCAGCGTCAAGGGTACAGCGGGAAAGCCGCGAGGTGGCGCGGTCACTGGACACGGGGAGCGCTCTGGAGAAGGCCAAGGCCGTGGAAGGAGAAGGTGGGCTGGGGCGGCGCTCAGCTGGGGTGGTCGGGGAAGGCCGCTGTCTGGGGGGAACCCATGGGAACCCCGGGGACTGGGTGCCGGGCCCGACAGCTCTTCCTCCCACTTTGCAGATGGGGATCTCCAGGTTCCAGGGGGTCGAGGGCGGTATGCAAGGTCGAGGGGGGGCAGGGGGCAGGCTGAGAGCCGGACAGGACCCCAGGGGGCAGTCCCACCGGGGTTCACCTGACCTGCTGTGAATTTGGCTCCTCCTGCTGGGAGCCTGCTCCAGGGGGGCCGGGAGGGGGGCTGGCCCTCCTTGAGGTGGGGGGAGGGGTCAGGGGTCAGGGTGGCCAGAGTGGATGCACCTTGGGAGCCAGGGAGTCTCCATGGCCGAGCGCCCTGTGGGTTCAGGGTTCCAAGGGTGCTTGCCAGATTTAGAAAAAGAAAACTGCAGGATGTCCAGTCAGAATTCAATGTCAAATGAACACGGAGTAATTTTTTAGTGTAAAAATGTGGCTTTCCTTGCCATAGACTTGAGATACTAGCTCCGCGGGGCTAGTCCTCAGGTCTCCCACCCCAGGATTTGAATAGGACCCCTGGGTGGCTCTGTCCCTCCCACCCCACAGGTGCCACTCCCTCCTCCTGAGGAGGGCTGGAGGCCTCTCCACTGATCTGCAACCTGGGGTCCCAGCCTTCGCAGTCCAGCCCCTCCGCCAGCACCTCCTCCACCCTAGTCCAGGCCTCCTTTCCACCTGCCACCCACCCCTGGCTGGGTTTCCTCTTCCCCAACCCATTCTCCATCTGTGGGGCTGCGGGGCAGTGCCGGTGGGATCTCAGGAGACCATCAGGATTTGAATCCTGATTCAGGGACTTACTGCCCGCTGGTGGCCTGCTGCGTGGCCGCTGACCTAACTAACCTCCCCCATCACACCAGTGCCATCACGAGAGCACCTAGCTAGCCGGGTTGCAGTGAAGGGGAGCTGCGCAGCGGGGCGAGGTGCTCCATCAGGGCAGCCCCTTTAGATCATTCCCCTGGGAAGAGACCGCCAGAGACCGCTGGCGGCCCGCAGTACGTCCCACCCCTGGGGCCCCAACTTCTTCAAAATCTTCGCTTTCTATTTCACTCAGGTTATTTCTGTCTCCCCGCAGACCAGGTGTACCCTGACACCTTTGGGGTGCTCTTGCACCTTGTCCCCAGGATGCCAACTCTGCAGTCCACAGGGTCTCCCCCTTCCTAAACACTTTTGTGCCTGCGCCGGACCCTCGGGCACTCGGGACCCCTCCGTCCAGGCGTGTGGCACCCTCTCCGCCGGGTCTGCTGACAGGTACCCTGTGTCCGAGGCCCTGGGACACGCAGCTCAGGGCGCCTGCCCCGCCCCCCTGCAGACCTTGCACTAGGGCTCCCCTGATAGGGTGGGGACCCCAGTTCTGGATGCCGCGGTGGTGGAGATCTCACTGGAGTATTCGGAAGAAGGTACCAAAGTAGCCGCATTCAAAAACAGGCTTTGAAAGAAGAAGGGGGGGTCACGTTTGCAAAATTTACGCCCCCCTCCGAGTGTCCCCTCCCTCGTCCCACGGCCAGCGCCCCGCGAGGTGCGCCCTCGGGTCACAGCCCCGGGGGGCCCGCGGAGGGGCGGGGCCTCGGACGCGGTTCCGTCGCGGAGGGGCGCCCGACACCCGGGCGCAGGCGGCGAACATCCCGAGAGGCCCCTCCCTCCCCTCCCCTCCCCTCCCCGCCGCGCCCCTCGCCCCTCCCGGCCCGGTGCCCCAGCTGGCGGCTGCCGGGCCCCGCTGGGCGGGGCGGGGCGGGCGGGCGGGAAGGGGCGGCGAGGGTGACCTCAGCGGTTCCGCCGCTCCGGGAAGGCGCTCGGCCCGCCCCCTCCAGCCCCCGCCCCGAGTTTCGCTCTCTCCGGGGCGGGGCGGGGCGCGGCGGGGCGGGGCGCGGCGGGCGCTGTCTGGCCGGCCAAGTTGGAGCGCGCCCCGCCCGCGCCCTCCGCGCCCTCCCCGCCGGGGCTCGCCGCCCGGAGCCCGGCGCACCGGGGCGGCTGCGGGGAGGGCGCGCACCGGGGCGGCTGCGGCGGCGAGGTGAGCGCGGGGGGCGGGCGCCGGCTCCTCCCGCCCCGCTCCCCGCTCCCCGCTCCCCGCTCCCCGCGGCCGCGCTGCCATAAATGGGGCCGGCGGCGGCGGCGGCGGCGGCGGCGGCGGGCGGCGTCGGGGGGCGCGGCGGGCGGGCCCCGGAGTGAACTTCAGCGGCGGCCCGGGGGGCGCGCGCAGCTCGCGCCCCGCCCCGCGGCCAGCGGCGTCGTGGGCCGCGGGTCGAGGCGTCCGTGCTGCGGGGCAGGTGCCGGGCGCGCGCGGCGGGGAGCGCGGGCTGCGCGGACGCCCCGTCTGCGCCCGCCGAGGCGGCGGCATGGAGGTCCCGGGGCACGGCGCGCGGCTGCTCGGCCGCCTGCGGCAGCAGCGCCAGCAGGGCTTCCTGTGCGACTGCACCGTGCTGGTGGGCGCCGCGCGCTTCCCGGCCCACCGCGCCGTGCTGGCCGCCTGCAGCGTCTACTTCCACCTCTTCTACAGGGACCGGCCCGCCGGCAGCCGCGACGCGGTGCGGCTCAACGGCGACGTGGTCACGGCGCCCGCCTTCGGCCGCCTGCTGGACTTCATGTACGAGGGCCGCCTGGACCTGCGCGGCCTGCCGGTGGAGGACGTCCTGGCCGCCGCCAGCTACCTGCACATGCACGACGTCGTCAAGGTCTGCAGGGGCAGGCTCCGGGGCGAGGGGCGCGCGCCGCCGCGGGGGGAGCCGCAGCCGCAGCCGCCAGCCCGCGCCCCGCGCCTCCAGCCCGCGCGCTCCCCGGAGCCCGCGCGCTCGCCGGACCCCCGCGCCGCCGCCGCCTCCGCCTCCGCCGGGGCGCGCGCCCTCCCTCCGCGAGCGCCGGGGCGCCCCCCCTGGCCGGCCCCCGGGGACCCGGACGCGGCCCTGGACCTGTCGCTGAAGCCCGGCCGCCCCCCGCGCGCCCTCCAGACCCCCGCGTGCGGCCCGCTGCCCCGGGACACCGAGTCGCGGGGCTCGCGGTCGGACGCGGAGGACGGCGGCGGCCCCCCGCAGCCCCCCTGCGTGCGCGCGGCCGAGCGCGGGGCAGGGGCCCCGGGGGCGCGGCGGGGCGGCGCGGCGGGCGGCGCGGAGGCGGCGGCGGCGGCGGCGGCGGCGGCGGCGGGGCGCGGGGCCCTGTGCGTGTGCCCGCTGTGCAGCAAGCTGTTGCCCGGCGCGCACGTGCTGCAGGGGCACCTGAGCGCCCACTTCCGCGAGCGGGAGGGCCCCCGGGCGCGGCTGTCCCCCGACGGCCCGGCGCCCACCTGCCCGCTCTGCGGCAAGACCTTCTCCTGCGCCTACACGCTGAAGAGGCACGAGCGCACGCACTCGGGCGAGAAGCCCTACACGTGCGTGCAGTGCGGCAAGGGCTTCCAGTACTCGCACAACCTGAGCCGCCACGCCGTGGTGCACACGCGCGAGAAGCCGCACGCCTGCCGCTGGTGCGAGCGCCGCTTCACGCAGTCCGGGGACCTCTACCGCCACGTCCGGAAGTTCCACTGCGGCCTGGTCAAGTCCCTGCTGCTGTGACCTGTCCCCCAGGTGGAACCTGGCGGTGGAGGCCAGGCCGCGGGATGGGGGCTGGGGAGCGGGAGGCGCCCCCGAGCCGCGCTCCCAGCAGAGGGACCACTGCCGGCCCCACCAGAGCCGGGGTCACCCTCCTCCTGCCTCGCTCCTCCCCCACCCTCGGGCGGACTCCTGCTCCCAGCTGTGCCCTGACCTTGAGCACCGTCTTCCTCTCCATCCCTCCAGCCAGTGTCCCCTCTGTCACCTCCAGGGGGTGTCCCGAGGGCCCTGAGGCCGGGCCCAGGCTCCTTGGCTTCAGAACGCGCTGTTGTCCTCCCACGGGGGGGGGGGGGGGGCTTTCCTGACCACCTCCCTGACTCACTCGGGCCTTCCCTTGTGAGCCTGGCACCGTGCTTGGTAGGGAAGGCACACATCGCAGAAGCTGTCGGCCTGTCCCAAAAAGGGCCCTCGGGTGGAACAGGCCGCTCCTGGTGGGTGGCAGCGGGAGCGTCCCGGGGAGGCCCTGGGCACAGGGAGCGCAGGCGGGCCGGCAGGGCGCAGAGGCAGAACCAGAACCAGCCGGAAGCTGAGTGGCTCTTGAGTTCCAGGTGCTGGCGTGGGACGTGGGTCCCCCAGGGCTCGGATCCTGACCACACTTCAATTCTGTCAGTGAGAGGAAGTCGCAATTTGGAAATGATTCTCTTCAGACGCGGAGAGCTTCCCCTCCCCGAGGTTGCCAGATGTCTGCCCGCAGGCGTCGGGCCGATGGGCCGTGCTGCCTCCCTGCCTGAGCACAGGGTCCGGGTGCCTCTGAGCACCCCGGGCGGGGGCGGGGGGGGCTTGGGTCTCGCAGGCTGCTACTGGGCTGCTCTGGGCCTCACCCTGACGTCGCTGGTCTGCCTGCCTCCCTGCTGTGGGCCATTTCCAAATGCTGCTCTCTACTCAGGCGATGTTTACGGGCTTTCCCTTCCCTCCAGCGGGGCTGGGTGACAGCAGCCATCCAGCAAGGAGGCGATCAGCTCCTGCCGGCCTGGGGTCACAGCCCCCCGCTATCACCCACAGCTCCTGGAAGGGAGTGATCTCTGCATTTGCAGTTGGTGGCGGTCACCCAGCAGATCTCGCTGCCACAATCTCTGTGATTAAGACAAGGGGAGAGGGCTGGCGGGGGCTTGTCCCAGCTCCTGGGGGTCTTGCCGGCGACAGAGCCCCCCTGGACTCCTGGTATCCACCAACTGGAGGCACTGAGGACAGAGTCCAGCCCAGTTTAAGTTATTTTCTCGTCTCCTGGCAACACTTGATGTCATATTTATTTGTCTGCCTGGTCTGGAGTGGAATGACCGGCGGCCTCACAGCAGGTGCACAGAAGGGGCTGGCTCCCTGCGCGCCCTCGGCTCCCCTGCTGTGTGGGGAGCCCACCCTGCGTGGCAGAGCCTCTCCTGGTGCTTGGGGCTCAGAGGCCCTGGACTGGCTGCAGACCAGAGAGCGCCGGGCAGGGGACGCCCTGGCGCTCGGCCCACACCTCTGGAAGGGCTGCTGGTACCTCGCACTCAGTGTCCTGTACTCCGTGGCCAGGTGTTCCTGTGTGTGCGTGTGTGTGTGTGTGTGTGCGCGTGTGTGTCCAGCGAATGCCGAGGCCGAGCCATGCCCACCGCCCCAGCGGGCAGCAGGGAGACGTGGCGGCGGCCCTGGTTTTCCCCGGGGGTTCCATGGGGAACTCTCCCGTCCTGACTTATCAACACTGGATTCATTGTCTTCTGCAGTTACTGTGAAGTTAATGTAAAGGGAAGTGGTTAGTTTTTAACTTGAGAACCCACACAGTCCAGACGAAATCTCTATTTATGTATTTAACGCACACAGTGCGTGGGCACGCGTGGTAGAGGCGCGCGGAGATGCAGCCCGAGGGGAGCCTGCCGTGCGGGGTCCTCGGGGCCGGCCCGCCCCGTGCCCACGGCCTGGGCCGGCCAGCTCCCAGGGACCCGGGGACACCTTGCTTGTGCTTAGCGCTCGGCGGGCGGTTTTGTTTGCACGCGCCCGCCTGCCATGGCAGTCTGGAAGGGAGTGCTGTCTTCCTGTGTTCACATCATCGTCTTCATGACAGTGCTAATAAAGGCCGCCCCAGGTGGAGGTGGCCGGGATTATTCCTGGGGACAGGAGTGTGTGCCTCTCCAAGCGTGTGCGGGAAGTGTGGGCACCGCTGGGGGCAGAGGAGGCCCCGGGGGCAGGGGAGGGTCCCAGGTGGGAGGCAGCCACTCTGGGGCCCATGTCTCAGGTGGCATCGCCTGCTGTGCCCTCTGGGGAGGGGGGCGGGTAGGGCAGGGCTTTGGACAGGTGACACACCCCCTTTCCTCAGGCTGCCCTCCCTGCCCTGGGGGGTGCAGGATGCAGGCTGAGACCTGGTGAGGTGGGCAAGGCTCAGAGGGGACGTGTCCCTCCTGGCCCAGCCCTCGCATGGGGACATGAAGCTGGTGGCCCTCTGGGCACTCCCTTGAGCTGTGCCTTTTTCACCTGGTCCTGGCCAAAGTGTCCTCCAGAAGAGCCAAAGCAGACCGAAGGGCAAGCCAAGGGGTCCCCAAAGGTGGTGCTAAAAAGGCTGCCACGCTTGGGGGTATACCTTGAGGCCTTGACCCATCCTGACCCCAATGCAGGTTGCTGCTTCTGGAAGGTCGTGCCCAGCACCTCCCCTCCCCCACGCAGCCTGCCTCCCACTGAGCCTTCCTCCTGGACCAGGGCCACTGTCCTGCAGGGAGACCCTGTCATGTTCCCAGTAGGGCCTGTGACTCAGCCTTCTCAGAACCAGGGGAGGAGGCTGTTGCCATGCCAACCAGGCAGGGGAGGAGGGCGCCGAGAGGCCCCCTTGGGGTAGGGCTGAGCTGGGACAGGGCTTCCCGGGGCTCCTCTCAGCCGCCCAGCACACTGAGCTCCCTGCCCCCTCCATCACCCAAGCCATCAGCCCCGTTCCTCGAGGGCTGGAGCCATCCGGCCGGACCCACTGGCTGGATGGTAAACTGAGGCGCGTGGAAGGGCCTGGGGCCTCCTCCTCCCTCCTATCCCCCTGCCCTGCCAGCACTATCTCTACAGTAGATCCCCACAGAAACCGACCCTAAAATCTGGGCCAACTTTCAAGTGGGGGAGAACCTAGTGCCTGACCGCCTGCACGCTGACAAGCGGTGGGGAAGGGGTGCGCCGAGCCCGTGCCCGTTCCCCCTTCCCCTGCGGGCCCGCTTCCCGATGTTTCCATCCCACCGCACCTCCTTTGTCCATATCGAAGGGAAAGTGGGTCTGGGCCTCCCATGCCCACCGACCTCCCCAACGCCGTGGGCAGCAGCCCTCCTTTGCCTGTCACAGAACCCTGCGGGGAGGGCCACTGGGTGCTCGTCCTCGTCCCCGTCCCCAGGGCACTTCCGTCCCTCAGTCTTCTCATGTGTCAGACGGGAATCACAGCCCAGCACTGCAGAGGGGTGTCGGGGTCGCGCCCGGTGGGCACATGGGGGCAGCAGCCACTAGGTGCCGGCCAGCGTTGCCGCCGCGGATGACGGCAAGGATGCGCAGCTGGGTCCCCGCGGGCCGTCCCCAGCCCAGAGGGGCACCCGGGGCAGAGGGCCTTGGCAAACGGACCCCAAAGAGCAAGCTGAGCTCGTCCTGGGGGTGCTGGATGCACTGGCTTTCAGGGACCGGTGCCGGTCCCGTTGGGCCCTGGGCTTCCTCATGGAGTCACCAGCCCTGGTCATCCCCACTGCATGCCCCTGCAGTTGTCCAGGCGGAGCCCCCTGCAGGGTTCTCCACGCACGCGGGGCTGTGGGAGGAGTACGGGGACAGCTGGCCGGGCCCTGGGGCCGGCGGGGTGGGAGGCCATGTCCAGGCACGCACACCGCGCCCTCCAGCTCCAGCCTGGCTGCCGCTGGCCCTGCAGAGACCCAGTGGGTCTGGGGCATCCCCGGAAATCTAGGGGCGCGGGGACTCCCTGAGAGGAGCCAAATGGCTTTGTTTTCAGCAATTTGAACAGAAGCCTGTGTGCGGGGAAACCCACCGTGGGGGAGTCCGGTGCGCGCTGACCGCAGCTCACAGCACAGGCGGTTACACCCCCGACGTCCCAGGGGCTGGACGTGTGAGATCCAGGTGCTGCAGGGCTGCTCCTGGGGCCTCTCCGGGCGTGTAGACGGCCGTCCTCTCTGTGTCCGTGTCCTGATCGCCGCTCTTCTAAGGACTCCAGTCCTAGTGCACTAGGGTCACCCTGGGAACCTCATTTTAACTTGATCACCCCTCTAAAGACCCGACTTCCAAATACAGTCACACTTCAAGGTGCTGGGGGGTGAGGCCTCCGACACAACTTCTGGAGAGAGACAATCCAACCCCTGACAATCAACCCCTGGGGCTCAGAGGGACCCGGAGGCCCAGGTCTGAGCCGCCCACTGGGTTTTTCTCGTCGGTGAGGTTTGCATAGGATCCAGCTCGCCCTCCAGGGCGCCGGACAACCCACGGGCCGCTGGGCGCAGCTGCCTGCCGTCGTCCCGGGGCCCGAGCCACAGCTCGGGGAGGACTGCCCTAGATGGGCCCGAGCCCGTCCTGCCCACACCTTCACGGGGCCCACACTGGAGTCTCACCCCCCAGCCCGGGTCGCACCCCCTCTGGAACCCCAGGTCCAGTCCCTGCACCGCAGCACAAGCTCCGTGTCCCCGTCTGCCTGACGGCGCGGCTTCTCTGTCACGAGTCTTGGCCCGTATGTCTGGAACCGCCGGCGTGGCCACCTCACCATGTCTGGCCCCTTCCCTCTACCCGGCTCCCCTGCCCAGGCCTCAGTCTTCGGCGGCCTCTAACTCCTCAGGGACTCAAGCCTGAGTGGCCGCAGCCGCCCCCGACGCTGCGCAACCCGCAGGGAAGGATGGCGCGTCCGCTGAGCACGTGCCCACATCCTAGGCCGAGTGCGGGACGCACCGCCCGCGGCAGAGCCCGAGTGTTTGCCAGGCGGCGTGCAGGCCTGCAGAGCCAGGGAGGCCCGGGCCCGCCCCGGGAAGCTCCCGAGGCCCCGGGCGGACCAGTAGCCACGAGGGGCACCGCGGTGGGGCTCAGGACGCGCCCATTCTGAAACCCAAAGCCTGACGCCCCGGGGCACGGGTGGGATGCGGCGCCCTGGACCCTCACACCTCCGGCGGGAACTCAGGAACCGCACGCCACGTGGAGAAAGGAGGCCGGTTCCCGGGGAAGCAAAACATGCACCTGTCACGGGACCTGACGCTTCCACTTCCACCCAGAGGGATCATCGGGGGAGACGAGACGTGCGCCCCCACGGGACCTTCCCCAGGGGTCCCTGGTAGTGATAGCCAGGGTACCGGAGAGCTACCGGCAG